CTCGCACTCTCACACACCTGGGGGGGCTTTTTCTTTTCTTTAACTCTTGGGGAGTTTGGGTTCCTGTGGTTTGGATTAGTTTTTTTCTGTAAATGAACATGAGACTACCTGCATAGTCTCCATAACACGGATTTACCTACCACAACATGCATGTTTTCCACTTACATGGAATTATTTTCCCCCATCAGCCCAGCGCATTGAAATTGACTTGGAAATATGTGGGGCACTTGTCAATAATGCATCCCATTGCCCTGCTGCCCGTCTGATGGATGCAACACTGAGCCCATTCCAGAGCTATGTGCTTACATACAACAACCAAGTCAGTTTATTTCACAACAGCTCGAAAGAAGCATTTGGTTACATCACAGCTCTGCAAACAGAAAACCATTCCTTACAATGGAGAAATGTGCTTTCTCCCTGAAAGCAGCTGTGAGGCCAGACTGCATTTCCAGACCACCCATTTACAGCAAATATCTTACTGACAGATTCTTTGTAACACCAGCTCTTTGGACTGTGATCATAAAGAAAAATAAATTTTACCAGTAAAAAAATATGCATGAATTCAATAATTATTCATCATAGCTGAGCTTAAGGGCTCACTCTTCAAAATCTTTATAACAGTTCTGGAGACAAATGAAAAGTAATTTAAGTCTCAGCTGATGAAACGCAGGGGATGGTTTTCACTAGCTGCCCACACAGACCAGGAGCCCAGACAAGGTTCTGCAGCCCAGGCACTAAGACGCCAACACTCCACTTTCTGCTGCAAGAGGTCAGCAGAAAAATAAACACCTTTTACCAAAAAAGGGACTTCATTGCACTGCAGTTTTCAGTCTTGTGAAGTTACACTCACAGGCTCAGGAAAGTAATTTCTCACTTTTTAAAAACTCACTAGAGGGAAAAAGAAATCTAAGACGTTTAGGTTTGTAGAGTTCTTAATTTGATGTTTAACACAATGTTTTATTCTTTCTGTCATTTAGGTCTTTGTCATATAAAGAGTAGATACAGGATCACTCAAGTCTAAAGTTTCATTACTGGCTTTACTCACTGCAGAATCTGAGGTCCTGGCTAATTCTCTTAATGAGATTTAAACCAAGAACCAAACACATCACCTTAGAAACCTGGGGGGCATGGAGGTCTATCTGTCACCTTTGTGAAAAGGCAGAGATGCCTCTATTTACCTTCATAACTTAAAGATTTCAACACGGGATTCTCACTCCTGAATTTCAACAAACAGAGCTCCATTTGACAAGATACCTCCAGCATGTCTTCTCTTTGAAGCAGCAGTAACAGGCTGCAGTAACAACCTGACAGCTGCACTGCACAGCGCTTGGCAGCATCTCAGCTCCCAAATGGGATAGCTGATAGCAGGATAGTTGCTCTCATCAAACTTGAAAAGCAACTGTTTTCTTCCCCATCTTCTCCTCATTTCTCTGTCCCTTCCAAAGAGATCCAAGCCTCTAACCAACACACCCTCCTGCAACCTGCAGGAAAACAAACTGACGTAATGGCTTTCTTAATTTGGATATATCAGTACCACAGTATTTTCATTCCTGGGGCATAAGCAATGGGAGAGATGCCTGAGACCCCAGCAGTAGGGGATGCACATACTAAAGAGGCAGCAGAAAAGACATGAAGAAACAAACATTGAGTTTTCAGCTAATCCTGGCATAAGATAACCCCCAAATAACATCAGGTATCTGGAAGTTGTCTGTAGGGACAAATTGTTTTCAGAATTAGGCAAAATCAAATAAGAAAAAAAAAACAAAACAAAAAACTTTAGAGATAATAGACTCTGCATTACTGAGAGAATAGAGTCATTTCACCCCTACAGATTAATTCCAAGTCATGTTTTGCAACCATCTATTGAAAAGACCATCTGGCTACACTGTGGATCCCAACCCAAAACATCTCTCAGCTTTGATATACACGGGACCCCCAAATTCGTACTTGGTCACACAAACGATCTTTCAAGGCTAACTTTCAGGAAGTTTTGCCACTGATGTAGGAAGGCAGAGGGATTTTAAACATTTCTCCAGAAACACAATAGTTCTGGGAATTTTTTGAGAGTGGATCAGATGTCATTTAGCCCAACTCAGCCTGAGGAAATAGCAACTGCAAATCATGGTGACTATTTCAGAGCCAAGCTTCCTTTGATGCAGAGCTTTTTGTTTTTCCTGAGGGAATAAAGGGAAAATTAGAAATAGGAAATGACAAAACCCTACAGGTACAGAAACAACAAGCTGAAGTACTGTGTGCAAGTGTCCAGCACCCGCTTCTCCCTCCACCCATTTCACTACTTGACATGTCAATCCAAAATTCCCAAGTAAAGCCTAAAGAAATATGCAAGACTCCTCAGACACAGCAACAAGCCCCTGACTGGGAACCAGTGAGAGCAAGAGCTGTCTAAAAAAGTGAGGGCAAACTCAGTATTTCTGAGGGCACTGAGAAAGGAGAACTGCACTGGAGTAGAAGCCCAGCTTAATTGAGAACACTGGATCAAAGCCACTGGAGTAGTGACCTTTAAAACAAGCAAATACAACCAAACTGTCACTGTAACTTGACAAAGGTTGAGAGTTGGAGCAGCTACACCCAAATCACTCCATGCCAATAGTTCCAAAGCAGGAGGTGGCTCCCAATGTCCACAGAGGCATTCACTGCCCTGCAGAATGATGTTTTTTTTTGCCTCTGCTTCCTTCTATTTCTGCTGATCTAAACACAAAGCAGTGGAAGACCTATTATGCCACTTCAATGTGAAAAACATTGAACTGAAGAACTATGAACTCAGTAGACAGTATTGAAAAAAACCTTTTAGGCAGTATTTAAGTGAAACAAGATACATAAAGCTCCTTTGTGAACAACATGAGAAAACAGAGGAATATTTTAATCAGCATTTTCATACAGTAAACATTTCTCTAAAATGCCAACATTTTTAAATGGGAATCATGTCCCTGGCTGGATTTCCTGCACCAAAAGAGTGGTAAAAGCTCAGGCATCCTATGCATAGAAGAAACCTCCAGAATAGTTAACAGGACTTAATAATCAGTATTGTCTAAACCAGACACGTTTTGTCCCAACATGCTATATACAAATGTATATTTAAATTAGAATAAAATGTGTGGTAAAGCTAAAACAATGAATTAACAGTATTCAGTGAAGATTTTTCAGAAGATTCTGCTTTTCCTCCTGACACAACAGGAAACAGAGCACTGAAATCAACTCCTTCCAAGCCCACTAAAAGGAAGAAGAAAAAAAAAAAAAAAGAGTTCTTTTGAAATCAGGTATTTCCTGCTTAAAAATAAAAAAACCCCCAATCTTTTACAAGGGTTTTTTAAGTTACAACAGGTTTCGCGAAGCTTTAAATTTCTCTCTGAGTGGGTTTCTGAACTGTCATTGCCGGTTATTACTAGTAGGCACAGAAATTCCCATTTTAATTAGAAACTTTATTTTGAAATACATTGTACAATTTACATGTGAAGTGTTTTCAATATAAGATATTTAATAACATTATGGTAAGCAAAATGGCTGACCAATTTCCTCAAAGCTCTTCCAGTTATGGGCTTTTTTCATTAAAACTATCTTACAGAACTAAGATGCAACTTAGGCATTTGTATTCAGAAGCTAATTACTATGTTTACCTTAGGGAGAAAGTATATACTTAACTGTTCCAATTAACTGTATGTTTCAATAATGATGTTAAGCATTTGGCATATGACTGAAAGAAACCCACGCCCTAATTAAACTTGTATTCACCAAGGATTTAAAAAAAGACTTCATGATCAAACTACTTTGTTAATAAGGCACAGTCAGACAAGTATTTACAAAGACTGGCTACCAATTCAGTTTTACCTGCACAGTCTTCTTGCTGGTCTGTCAACAGTAATCTGAAAGTTGTTTTCCCTGTCTGCTGCTGAGACTTTCCAAGAACAAGGCAGAGCAGTAAGGCAACTTAAAGAACAGGCATGCACAGGAGTTTGGCATTTGGGATGGATTTTGAACATCTGCAAAGTAGTTCATTTTATAAATGGAGCATTCACTTGCTATTATTAAAATGGTGGCCAACTGTGATAAGATAAATAGCAGTGATGCAAGCAGAGGGTATTTCAATAGGAATTAACAAGATGTCTGGTATGCTTTCAGCTAAGACTTTGCATGCAGCAATTCCCACAACTTTTAGAGATAATCTAAATTTAATTCTGAAATTTCCCTCTGCCACTTAGAAAAACTGAATGTACTAGGAAGTTTTTTGATAGCAGGTGAAATATCAAGGAATGAAATCTCCATTTAGATAATGAGCCAATACTGCATCCTACTTTGCATTTCTTATTAGAACAAAAAGGAAGTCTTTGGGAATGAAAACTGAAATAATTACATAATTATTTTGGCTGCAAGAAAGTTCAAGAACTTTTAACATGGGATGTTTAAAAAACATGAAACAAGCCTACCCACAGTCAAAGAATAAAAAAATAAAAATGAGGAGGGAAAAAAAAAAAGAGAAGCCTTACCTTCCCCTTCCAAATAACCTTTGAGGAATGATTGCTTGAGATTAGCATTGTATGGCTTCTGTGGCCTATGAATGCCAGATAGATAATCTAAGAATTATCATTTTCAAGCTACTGCTTGTTTTCAAATTTTAGTAACTTCAAACAAAAATACATTGTCTATTTCACTTGAATAATAAAACTGAGCTTAAAAATCATTAAAAGTGTATTGCTGATACAAATTTGTATCACATACTAAAAGATACTACTTCATAGATTAATTATGAAAAAAAAGATTGATTATACAAAAAGTTTTCCAAATTCTTTTGCACAGGTGAACTCAGTGCAGGTTTAAGATAAAAAAAATCTGTAAATGATGTCGTCAAAAGATGTTGAATACAAAATACATTCTGAAGTATTTTACAGAATGGCTGAGTTATCAAGCATAAGAACTGAGGATAAAGAATGTTAATGACAAGCAGCCACATACAGAACACAAAGCAATAATTTTAAATCAGACTATTTTGGTTTGTGTAGCCCTTTATTAGCAACTAAAATAGAAGATATCTGTTGTACATCACGGGTAGTAACTGACTATACTGGAGTTTTATTATATTCTAATACAGAATCATTTATAAATGCGTTGTTTTCCTTTTTTTCTTTTATTAAAAAGCTTCCGCCCCCTTTTTCCCCCCCTTTTTCCATTTACAACTTGCAAAACTATTCTGAAAGCTGAGTATATGTGCACAGGTCTGCAAAGAGTGCAAATTTAGGATATGGTAAATGCTTTACATGTTTTGTTTTTCAGGACAGTCTACCACCATGCCTTCTTAGCCATTACCTTTTCCAAAAAAAAACCCAAAAAACCAATTCTCACAAAAAGCTCTGATACCAGTCTTCCTTTCATTGTCCTAAACAAGAAAGCATTTTTAAATGAGTTGAAACTAAGGAAGGACTACACCTACTAGAAAAGAACAGAGTTCTATTAGTTTGAGGTTTCAGTATACCCAAAGACCAGGGACTGTATCTTTGTAAGGGCTAGGCTGGGACCCCGAATACAGAGTGTGTGCAGGTGACATCCCTGAGCATTCAGCAGTTCAGTGGACCATAAGTGCTCCAGCTGCATAACTCACTGAGCTGTCTTGCCAGTTTCGACACTGGCTTGACTGAGCGTAATTCAAAAATGAAAAGCTCATATTCATTCCATTCTTCTGGAGCTCATTGATAGCCTGAGGAGGGAAAAAGAGCTGTTTAAAAAAAAGGTATCAGTGAAATTATATTTCCTAGGTCTCAAAGGTCCTTGCACCATCTCTCATAAGCTCAGGATATAAGCACCTCCTAGTAACTAGTGGATCTAGCCCATTTCCATGCTGTTTCATTCACTGACCCTTCCCCCACTGCATTGTGTACATCCATGCAGTTCTCTAAAGCAACGCTGAACCTTTCATGAGACCCAATTTAGAAACAATCCTTCCAGTTCCATGGGGAATTTATACAGAAACACAGATGCAACAGAAAAGAACCCAACACTAATAACACTTTTCAGATTCTATTTCTTCCATCAAGGAGAAAGAAGGTACAAAGGTAATTTATTAAAGCATGACAATTGGCAAAAGTGAATTAACAGAATTTAGCTGTGATTCACTGCAAAACTAATAATTATCTGAGGGTAGGAGCTGGGTATATTTGCAGAGTTGTCATAGCACTGAACTTTGCTACATGCATCCCCAATATTGATAATGCTCATACAAACTTTTATGGACTCCACTTTAAAAGGTTCCTTTCTATGTTCTCCATTCAGACTACATTTCCAGTGAATCAAGTTTTTCCCTTCTAAAAAAATTAACAAGCTTGCTGTTTCAGATTTGAATTACAGTAAAAATACAGTGAGATTCATTCAAGCAATATGACAAATCTGCAGCACTCCATCAGTGCTATAAAGCAGCTGCAACCAAATTTAAGACAACTAAGTTAAGCCAGGTTTATGTCTGCACTGCATCACCAAAGCAGAATACAGTAAGCAGAAAGTAATCTGAATTCTAACTGCTGTTAATTTATGAGTTAATGGTGCACTAATAGTTACAGAAGTCATCTCTCACCATATTTTCAAAACTGAAAAACACTGCCGGACATCACAAGGCACTCACAAAAGCTAGCTAATAGCAATATAGAGAAAATAAATACACATTCATAAGTACTGACTCAAAAGAGTAAGTACATACTTCTTCAGGGAGATGGATCTATTTGTTCATTTATTTAGGGCCAAGAGAAAGTGAATGATCGCATTTCATTGAAATTCAAAAGGAATGTGCTATCTCATCACCCTTAGGGAACTGAAAACCCTCAGCCCTTTCAAGAGCTTACATTTGTCTATATGCAAGACACGAGGACTAGAGACCAAACTGAGCACACTTAAAAAAATAAATTAATTCAAGGTATGACACTTTAGAACTAAGGAATACTGCAGCAATGTTGTGTTTTACAAATGCAAAACATTTTCCCAGAAGTTACATTTTTCAACAAATCAACAGTTACTTACATTTAATAGCACTCCAATAGGATGTCTTCCACATATTGTGTTATGGTATTTCTTCAAGTAATTGCTAAAAGATACAGGATCTAGCTGCTCTATAATGCTCATACCCTGAAAAATAATTGATAGCAATAATTACATTACACATTCACAAGCATGTGTTTATACATCATCTATTTGTTACAACAGAGCAGGAGGAAAACCCCTCTGCTTTGTACCAAGGATATCAAGGGAATCTCAGCACGTGAGCTCTAGCTTGTAGTAATCTTGTTTCCTTTCCTTGCCAAACTAAAAGTGCAGGAGCTCTTCCAAAGCTGTCATTAATCCACAGATCTGTGAAGTTATCTTTGCAAATACCAGTGAAGCTCATGTTAAAAAAGCTCTGAAGACTAGTTGATCCCCACCATCCAAGACTGCCCTGCTTCCATAAGATTTGGTACAGCTATAACCAGGCAAATTTACTAGAAGGGCAAAGCAGGAAGAAGTTGTGACTCCATCTGCTCTCCCTGGTAACAAAGTTCAGGGCCAAGCACTTGTCTGGAACTTCTAGATGTCCAAAAATCCTAGATAAAACCAACACTATACACATGCAATTCACGTGCATAACAAGTGTGATGTATCCTGGACATATCAGGCATGCAAGGCAGTTGATCTGGGCATGGCCTGGCCATTTGCTCAGAGCATAAAAATCAGATCCAGAAAATCTCTAAAGCACTGTCAAGTTGGTGCACAACAAAAAAATGTAAGAACTGGGAGATGGTGTTTCTACTTTACATGAGACAGTCAAATGTATACATACTTTCCTTCGTTGAGAAAGAGACCCATGATCCCATGGAGTCATGCTAAGGATACCTGCACACGTGTGGAAAACCAAACCTTACACATATACAAACATTTGCATTCTTAAAAGCAAAAAGAATCCTACAACTCCAGATCTAGTCTACTCTTACCACATCCCATAAAGAGATCAAACACCATGAAAGTAGTTTAAAAATAAGTGTAAATCAATTATTGTCTTAGTTTCTTCATGGGTTTGCTCTTTTGCCTGTATTAGACTTCACCCACTTATCTTTTTCCTTCCTCAGAAAATTATTAATTCCCTTCACCAGGGAAATGAGCTCCAGACTCCCACTAACTCAATAAAATACATAGTTATGCTGCTTCTGTTGGTGAAACAGTAAGTTCTTCCTTAGAGACTAGGAAAAAACATGGGAATAACTGGAGGTTGATACTAGAAAAGGAGGCAATTTCTTCTAAGATTTCTGCATTTGCCCCAGCTCTTTCCCCTACTTTTGTGTGATAAAAGCCACAATGAAGGAAGAAGTCAGTCTGAAGTCTCCACCTCAAGAGCAAATTTTCCACAACACTCTGCAAGGATGTTGGCTGATCTGGCAGATATCAGCTAATTATTCAGGCTGGATCACTGCTTACAATGGAGCAGAAGATTCCCAGGAAAGCTGGGAAAACTACAAACAGCAATGATAACTACTACCCTTGTGTACTTTTGAATAGAAACAGACATAAGATTAATTCATAAAGAAATACGTTTTATGAAAAAACAACAACAACAAAAAAAAAAGCTGGCCAATTGGTGGTAAAAGCTCAGTTCTGGATTCATGGAGAGAATGTTTGGACCCCTGGCCAATAATTACAGCTGTTAATCACTCCAGATCTACAGAGCCTAAATGAGTGCCAAAAAAAAAAAAAAAAAAGGTAGCTATTTTCTAACTAGCAGTGATTACACAGATACCATTGCATTTCCAAAGTTTCCAAAGCATGTATTTCAACCACCTATTTACTATGTCAATATAAAGCTAAAGAAAGCAGTACTAAACTTGACTACATACTCAAGTGAATACTAAAGATATATAAGGCACTTACTCAGATACTGAACAGTTAATGAGAATATATTTTATCTGTTTGTAAAACCCTTTCATGACCTTTTAAAAACATGGAAATGGCTGCTCAATTGAGAGACTCATTTTACAGTTGTAAGTCACTGGAACATACTGGGCAGAGGCATTTGAGCATTTGTCTCAAATGAATGGACATGGATTTATGAGAATGCCTAGTAACCTTATTTCAATGCACAGTTCAGCACTGCAAAACATTTACAGCTATGCAATTAATCCCAGGGTTCCATACATCAGAGATGGAGAAAATCTATAGGGAATTGGTACAAACAGATGTCCTATAAGCATTAGGTTGAACTGAATTTTTCAATCTTTTGGATTTAAAAATCCTTGTGGCAGAGGAACAAAGACTATCAACCTTGTTTCTCAGTCTAAAATGGTGTTGAGGAACAAAGGAAACATTTTTGCCAGGTTGTGTTTTATAAAAAGCAGAGGTATATGAAGCTAATAATGTTCAGTATTTGAAACAACTCAGCTAAGCATGGCTCAGAACAGAGTTAAAACAGGTAACAAAACACACATGACAAAAGTGTAAGCACAGTTACACAGTTTATCACATGGTCATTATGGCATCATGTAGAAATTGCATACCTCAGTTACCCAGATACTGTTAATAGCATCAACAATATCCTAGCATAGTGCACTTAACATGATTAGAAAGTTACATTTTCAAATATCATCCCTTAATAGGATCAAGTATCTACAAGCTTACAAATAAACTTTAAAAAATAATAACCCCACACATATATCCCAAAACAAGCAAACAAAAACTCCCTCAAACAAACTATAGGCTCATTTTATATTATATGCCAATAATGCTTTGGCTGGTCACATTAAAGTTTGTTATCAGTTATTTCAGCTGTTTCTTCACATTTCAAGATCTAAACTAACAGGACTCTAATGGAAATGGAAACAAACTTGGTCTTAGTACTATCCAGCCCAACTATCTCTGCATGTGTGAGTCATTCAGACTACACAACAAATAACCACCAGGAAAATTACTGTCTAGGCACAGAGAACAGGGACCTGGGCATCCAGGCAGAGACTCCTAATCTTACATTATACCCAGCCTAAGAAGCCTGCCCAGGCTGGAGCACTGTGGAAGGTCCTGGCACACTGCAGCAGCACTGCAGAAGCCACCGGAATTCTGCAGGTCATTAGAGATACCTGAGAAGCCATGGGCGCTGAGCATTTTTCCTGGACCAAGTACTGGCTACTCCTGCACAGCACTGCTCCGTGCCTGCATTTTCCCCCATCAGCATTCAGGGTAACACAATCATTGACTCAAGCGAGGGTAAAGTATCCCATACCAAATTTATGCTGATATATAATGAGCAATGCAGTGAAGATTTAAGTGAGCAATCTGCATTTTCAGTATAATCAATCAAAAACTATTACTCGTCAACAATGTCTTACAAAATACTTTCCCCACTTTATGTAAAAAGATAGTGTGTTTCAGGTTGTGATACACAAAGTAATGCACATCAGCTGCTCAGTTACAACTCTTCATTTGAAGGTTCTCCCCTAAGGTAGCCCTTCTAACCTCAAGGCTATTTCCTCCTTTTGCCATTACATCACAAAGTTGCTGTAGTCACAGTGGTCAAATTAACAATTACCATGGAGAAACTGAGGTCTGCCCAGCAATATTTCTTACTCTGTATTTGTTTTATGCTGGAGTCTAACGGCTCTAAACTTCAATGCCCGAAGTGTTCAACCATTTTTATACACTAAGTGAGAAAATACATTTATATGTAAGATCCAGTCCAATCAAGGAAGAGGCCATCAAACTCCCACAAAGGCATTTCTAAGGAAAATTGACTTCATCTTGCCCCAGAATACCTTCCTGCTTATAATGTGGTCAGCTGATTGCTTTCCTGGTTAGGGCCAATAAAATGAAGCCAGTTTTAGTACAGTTTTGTCTCTATCTTGATGCTGTTTTGTCAGTCTAGAGGCCTACTGGTCACCAAAGTACAAGTTCGTTTAGCACATCAAATCACATGAAAAAATCCAATACTTATCTAAGGAAATAAGAAGTAGTCAAGTGGGACATAAAATTGAACAAACTTCCAAAAACTGGAATAATGTGGCAGGGAGAGCTCTGTGATATTGCTAGCAATAAATCTCTGAAAAATCATCCAAAACAAAACCTTCTCCATATAGCATCTGAATATGGAGTCACATGTTCAGATATGCCATGATACAAACAAGCAAAAAATAACCACAGTATGCTGCTATACAGCATTTTTAGTATTCCAGTTAAACTTCAGACTGAAAAAGTATTTTCATAATTATTAAACAGTAGACATGATTTTCCATGTTACAAAAAAATGTCATTTCCATTTAGGTGAATAAGTACCAAAAGGAAGAGTGGTGCAGCAATGTATTCCCTAAAAGTAATTAAATGCCAAAGTCCAGTCTTTCTTCAAGCTTTCTAGAAATTAACAATGGGAGACTAATGTTTGTTAATGGACCATAATCTGCTCTCCTGCAAAAACACTCAAAGCTACCGATGCTGAGATTCTTTAGAAAAACACTTTTCTTGATAGAGAAGCCTCTCAACTGACTACAAGAATTATTAAAAGTGGGATAAACAGAATGAAGGCAAATTATTTACTGTCATTATTTCTATTCCAATGATAAATAGTAGAAAAACAAAGGGGTTCATATGTATACACAAGGTAAGAAAGTCTAGAGATGTCTCCAGCAGACAGGATTTATTCCTTCAAGACAAGGAAAAAATTAACATGCCATGAATAAGAACAGATCTCTGTTCTAAAAGATTCTACATAAGTTACATAAATGATGCAAACAGTTGTAAAACAAATTTTAAGGTTACATATTTCCAGAAGAATTACTTCTAATCCGTGCCTTAAGTATAGTCTTGAACATTAAATTGTTGGGGTTTTCTTATGTTAAAAAGAAATCCTTGGCTCCTGTGACTGCAAAGAAAATGCAACATAATTGGCATTGGACCTTTAGGTATGTAACATTCCTTTCAGCTTTTTGCCAAACCCAAAATGAAGCATGGTGTACTGCTTTTTCCCCACCACCTAGTACACAGTAAGGGGCAGGGGGAAGGCCACTCCCAGGGAAACTCTCAGTGGCTTTTACTTTCCTGACCATTGCAATGCCCTACTACAGCCTTTCCTCCTCCAAATGGATGTTGCTGAAACCTTTGCATAATCACAATGCTGTTTCCATATGCAGGTATCACAGCTATCAAGCTAGAACTACCATTCCATGGAACTACCAATTTTTCATGCATAATTTCTATTGCTTTTCAAAAACATAAGAGGGTATGTAGACAGAAATTACATTAGGGCATTTTTAGGTAGGCGAACATGCATTTTTTTCTCATTAATTATGCTTACTAGTTTATACCCACAATACAATTGTGTGCAGTCAGTAAAAGGGAGGATACTAGCTAAAACCAACAGCTAAATTCTTATTGTGGTAAACAAAGGAAAATTATACATTCAATAATATAGCTAATCTATTATATCTTGTTAGAAAAATTTCCGAAGTGTTCAAAGAAATGGAATGTACAGGAGAAATTTGTTAGTTAGTTCCACCAAATCTGAAAACTTACCATTTTATCTAGGTGCTCAATGGATCTATAAATTTCTCCTTGGGATTCATCATAGTAACTGTAACGGAACCTCTGACCTTGAAACAAAAATCATGTATAAAATAAAAAAGGGAAAAATTGTAGCTAAACCACTCCCTAATACTTACTAAATATTTGAAAGTATAATACTTATAAAGTAGTCATCTTCATTTATTTTATACTTTTTAGCTCCATTGAGGAAATTCTAGGGCAATCATAAAGTAGCAGCCCAGAAGTAAAGTAAAAAAAAATACATGATGGGTGGCTATATTCCTAAAGAGAAATCTACAATGCAGATCTGACACTGAAGTATCACTCACTAATTGCCTCTTAATACCTTAGACTCTAATTCTGTAAATTAAGAAGTATAACAACATTTCATTTTGCTATCCCTCTTGACAAAGTCAGCTGTGGAGTCATACTACTTCTGCTTGCACAACAATACCCACAGTAAATAAAGGTTAAAAGAAAAAACTCATGATAATTCAATGAGCAGTTCTAGATGGGTCATTAGCCACAACAGAACCAGGTCATTCTTATATACACCTTCCACCTATTCCACAATTCAAAGATGAGTGAAACATGCACTTATTTAGGTTGACCAAAGATGACAATGGAAAAAAAAGGAAGAAGGTCTCTTGTGTCACATATCTTTCTGAAGCAGTCACTTTTCCAGCTACTATTACACTTAAAAGAAAAATAGTATTATAAAGCAGGGCAGAAGTCAAGGCTTCTGGAGTCTTTGTAGCTCTGTCACCAAGATGAACTGAGGTAGCACTGGTGAATTAGCATAAATAATCCATTTGCTATCTCACCCAGCAGTAAAACATATAAAACTTATTTCTGCCAGAGGAATGTGGCCATGCCCAGTGAATTTTTAGCTAATTAGCTTTGAAAGTTGTTTTGAGGTGCTTAAAAGAAGAGTAAAAAGAGCAAGCAACTTCAATTACTTCATTGCAACAGTAAAGAGATGCATATAAATCCACACACCTTCACCATTTATTTCCTCCTCTATACTGAAAACATATTACCACATTAATATTTTTACCTCTTATTCCAGATTTTAAAGACTTTAACGTTCTGAAGGCATTTAAGTTGCAAAAATGAATTTACCAGAAGTTAAAATATTAAATGTTTAATAAAATACATTATTTGGAAATAGCTATAAAATATTCAATATAACCTTATAATGAAATATGAAACTTACCCCAATGGCAAAAGTCAGAAGAAACCACAAAGAGATTACTAGGATCAGCTAGGTATTTACTGAAGAGTTTTCCAAATTCCTGCTCTTTTGACTCACTCAGTGCTCCGACCAACACAGGAATAATAGTAAACTCATCCTTATGGCTTATAAGCAAAAGAAAAAAGGTTGTAATTCAAGTAACATCTGAAGATTTCTCAGGGCTTGCTAACTGAAACTGCAGAATGGTTTAAAAGATTGCTATTGATTTGGAGATAGCAATTTGGTAAAGTTATACTAGGATTTTGTTTTAGGACCTCAAAGTACTTCAATTTCAGAAAACACACACCCCCAAAAGCAGTATTTCTTTCTGCTGCAAAGTAAAACTACCAGGCAAACAAAAAGAAGACACAGTGAAATCAGCAATGAAGTAAGAATTAAATTTTCCCTATATAGATACTGCATGTTGGGTAATTCTCCAAAGTAAATGAAACATATATGAAAATGCTCAACACAGTACCCAAGTATATACTGATACTCTAAGGAAAATTCAAAACATAATGGCAATTAAAAAAAACACCAAAACAGGGGATGAGGCACATCTTAGGGAAGAAAGCCCAACACAGATTGACAATTTTTATTTCAAGTAAACATCTGAAACAGCAGCTATAAACACACCCCTGATTTCAAAATTATTGAATTTGGCTCCAAGCAAACTTAAAATACACAGAAAACTATTTTAACTTCTTTCAAAGACACCTTGAAAAGTAGGAGGGAAAATCAGCTATTGAAAAAAGTTCATGAAAGCATATCTAATATTAACTCTATTACGTAAACCTGTTTATAAGAGGTGTTATAACTTCATTATTTCAGTGTTTGCTTTGCTCACAGTTTTCAATTACAACAACATATCCTAGTCTCTGACCCTTTCCTTACCAAAATTTTTATCGTGGGATGGGGGAGTATGAGCATTATACACATCATAATGTCTTCTATGCCATAAAATGTATTATTATTTCCTACTGCACTTCAGGGTAGCTCAAATATTTAATGCACATAATGTTCCTTCTTGTAGAAGTAATTAGCCTAGTACCTTTCCATGGCTTTAGCAGTATAAGGCAAATGCATTTCAATACTGTGTTCATCTTCATCTGTCTGTAGGGACATGCGCTCAAACATTCCAGTCTTCCACAATTCTCCATAAACTGAAAAGAATTAAAGATGAGTTTTTACTACTTCTTTGCTTAGTTTTGAAAACTACCTCAAGTGCAAAAAGCAAGCTACAGTGTATCTTTATCAGAACATACTCACTATAAAAAATTACTTGCATCCAGGGGCCATCATAAACCACTTGCTTCTAAATAAATTCAGAACTAAAATTATGTTCAAGTCATTAAAATATAAGCATAATTGATTCAGTCTACAAAACTTGTTAAATCAGTGACCTTACTAGTATATTGAAAAAGACTCAGTCATTATACAAAACTAATTATACAAATAAAACACATTTGAAAATATACATGCATTTGCCCAGTTAATGAATTTTTATTTTCATGAACTGTCCATTATATGTTAAAAAAAATCAGATGAGCTATTGTTCGATTTGTTACTATTTAATTGATTATTGACTGAATTATGAAATATAAAGACAACCACAACTGATTAAGTAATCCACATTTGTAAGTTTTCTTTTTTACTCTCAAACATACTTGAGAGTATACAAAGTCATCTCCATATTCTGAAAATTCTCCACTGGATGATGAATTTGATGTAGGGCTGTGCCTCCTTCTCACCTCCATAAAGGAGCTCTACAGAAAGCAAAATATTTCTCACCTAAGGAAATTCAGTAGGCACCGTGTAAAAAGCCTGAATTAGTTTGCTTAATCACAGTTACAATGAAACACAACACATCTCTGCTAATTAGCCCTTCTGAAAAAGATACCATATCACTTAGGTATACCTCAAAATACATAAAAGCCAAAATATCAAATTAATCTTCATTGCACTTAGTTCAAAAGGCATTTCATGGACTAAGTTTCTAAGTTTGCAAGTTAGAAAGTCACATGCCAGAAAGTCATGTTCCTTTATCAGAAATCAAACTCAAACCAACTAAAGAACTTTTATTTCCAGAACACTTAACAGGAGAATGGAAAAGATGTTCAGTGAGTTATTATTTGATGTAACACTTTTTTTTAGTTTTAAAACCCTGAAGCACACACTCAAAATTGAAAAGATAAGCAAAAATTTGGAGGTCTTGCCATAAGGAAGAGAGACACTATGGTTATAATGTGACCATGTCTGAAAAAACCAGAATCGTTCAGAAGTTCATTTTTTTTTGCACTTGTATGCCACTTACAGCAAGGAAATGCCCAACAAGAAGAAAGTCCTCAGCACTGCAGTACCACAGTCAGCACCCAAGCCTCAATGATGTCCAAGCTCTACAATGCACTTACTCTTTTGGTCAATTCGAAGATCATACAGAGGTGTTCTGTAAATGTCCACACTGGAAAGTGCACATCGGGAGAGGGGCACATGATGGGAAGGCCCAAGAATGAAAATCTTTCGGCTACAACAATTAACACAGAAGGCCACAATTAGACAACTGCAATTGTATAGCAACTCAGCTTAGAGTAACAGGTTTAATAAAAAGCATACAGTGATACTCTCTCATGGCTGCAACAGTTTTACTCTGTTGCAGTAAGACCCCACATCAATCCGTGGCCCAACCTTGCTTGATATCTCAGGAATTATGATGAGATCAGTTCAATAATGCTCTAGCCTTAAATCTCTTAAGCAGGTTATACATCAGAGGGCACTCATCAGCTAGAAATTTGTCTGACTTCACTCATTTAGAGGCTGAATGATGCGTTACAGCCACTTGGAACAGATTTTTGAATTCTCTCCTTGAATTAATACACTACTCAGCACCTTCAATAAATACAGGATGAAATAGCAATTATGGGTTTATCATCTATTCAGAGTTTTTCACTTATTTACTTTATTAGCCTTACTCAGATTTCACTAAATTAAATTTTAAGTCCTTCTCAAATGCTGGGTTTATGTTGTTTCATGTTATGTTTTTTTTCTGCTGTTGCATCAACAGAGACTTGGACAGGCACATTCATAGCTTTAGCTGATACTGTAACCTTTTACATGTCATGACATCATTATTTCATCAAGTCCTCAGTTCCTGGCTCCTGATTAGATGTTAAGGGCCTCCTGCCACAGGACTTAAAAGGAAAAAGAAAATATATAGGCAATTCAGCTTTTCAGATTCAGGATTATATTATCTTGTTTCTGGCACTGTATTAAAGGGGTGGGGACATGTAAAGTTCTCAGGGTTTGGTTTTCTTAATCCCTTACACAGGGAGTACTATAACAAGATATACTAAAACACAAACTCCCTGCAAAGCTAATAAAAACAAATATTCAAACATGCAATCGTTTAGCCCAAAGATGAGTTCTAAACATCCCACACAGTAAAAAACAAATGATCCAGCAAGTTCAACCGACTCCTTATCAGGGAACCTAGGGAATGCAGATTGTTCCAGAAATTTTAGAGAAACTAGGTATCTGTCATACCATGAGCTATTTTCACATAATTTGCAATAGTTTAAAAAGAACTAAAACCATTGTCTTTGAAGAGTACTACAGCGTGTTATCTTAGGAACAACTGGTAAGCCTAGCCAGTTCTTATTTAGCATTGCAAAATACATACATACTTTGAGTAAATACTGCAGACGTTTTAAAATTTTGTCATTAAAAAAATGTTGCAGTCAGCAGAACATAACAAAAATTACATTTCCTTATCAAAAAATAACTGGACTCAAATTTTCAGAGGCAGACACAGACTATAACCGCATGTTGGGATTTTTTTTTTCATTTTTCTTTTTTTAAACTTGTTAGAATCAAAAGTCCATTTGAAATCATTGGAGCAATTAACTTTCATAAACGCATTGGTCACTTCCTCCACAGCAGAACAGAATCAGTATTCAGACCGTAATCCTACACTAAAAAAATCAATGCAGAATGATGGTGAAGTATATTAAGTATTTTAATAGACTTAATAAAACAAATAAAACTTCCCAACCATAATAAAAAAGCCCCAAAACAAAATCAAAAAAACCCCAACAAAACTAGCACGGGCTTTATAAAACAGTAGAACATCAGTAATAAACTGTCAAGTCTTTAATTCCTCCTTTGCAAAAAGTTAGTTACCAATTATTTTAACAATATTCCTTTTTTCCCCCTCCTTTTGTTACATCCAATTTGAACATTTATTATTTAAAACAGAAGTGATGCATAGAAGGCTAAAAAGAATACAAAATTAAAATGTGAGTACTTCAAGATGTAAGAATGTAGCAAGAACACTCCACTTGAATTGCAACCTCAGGGTCTTAGGCTTTGTAAAGAAAGCTGTAATACTCACGTTATATTGGGATCCACCTGTTTGTAAGCATGGGCTGCACAAGATCCACAATAGGTGTATCCTGCATGGCTGCAAACCAAAGTGCGCAAAACATTAAGATTTAAATATTGCTTAATATCTTAAATGTGTTGATATTCAGTGTTAATCTCTCAGGATTTATTTTTTGTCCCCAGTGAACTAGAAATTGTAAGAGTGATCCAGAACTCCCGAAAGAGCAGGAAAGCACTGTTGCAGTATTGCTCACACAAGACACGTATTTGTTGAAGAACTGGCAGTGACCATTTACTGACCAGTTAAAAAACTATCAATGACCATTGAACATTCAGGAAACCCCCAGATCAAAGGACCTTCCCTTATCTGTATGGATGTATGCAGACTGCACAACTACCTGTTATCCGAAGCTCATGATAATGCTAACAGCGCAGCCAGTGAACAAGGGAGTGGCAAACTTGCAAACTATTGGAGAAATCTCTTCTAACCACACTCCAGTAACTGGATATAATGACAATAGAGGGGTCTTGGCAAAGAGAGATATGTCACAGTAGATAAAGAGAGAATAAAAATGCTCTGTCATTGAAGAATGACTTGGGAACAGAATGAACAAACCACTGCAGGGAATAAGACACATGCTTAACCCTTTCCCATCAGTCAGACATGGTCCTTTCTCAACCTCTTTTCCTGTGTGTGCTCCAAAACAATTTATAGTTGTTTTGACTAGTTGTTTCAAATATTGCCTTCAAACCTGAAGAACTATTTTCTTCAAGCCCATTAAAATGAGTGAAAATTCACATTACACTGCTAAAAGCATTAACTTCATAGAACATTCATTCCTAGAGTCCCAAGTCAAGTGGCAGAAAATGGCTCCTGGTCACTCAGCAGTATGCCCACACCACAGCTTTGCACAACGACACTGAGAATGATGCATGCTGCAAGCCCTGAGATATACAGGATGTTTGAAGATACAAGTTCCCATTGACAGCACTGAAGGATTTTATATGTATTTATACGTATGTATCTTCAGATACATCTATATTCATCCACAAACTGATAACCTAGAGCAAGTTACCTTCAAAATGAACCCAATATTTTACTTCATCTCTTATCTCACTCATTCTAAAGAGCTCAGGAAAGTATTAACATACATGCTAAGGGGAGAAACCAAGAACTCACAAATGGGCAGGACATGTTCCTAGACACTGTCAAAAGAGCCTGCTGAAATGCTCCCTCTCCTACAGGCTTCTTCCATCTTCTACAAAAATATTAAGCACATCCCATTTCACAGGTGGTAAAAAAAGGGCACAGTTAATGAAAAAATGTGGTGAGATCACAGCAAGACTCCAGCAATTCTGGAAAAAGAAGCAAACTACATAATCTGCAGCTGAAAGGTCTCTTTCCTGGCATTCATGCAATAAAGACTAAGGCAGATATGGGACAATTTCTTCTGCACACTCCATACTATTATGCAGTACTTCAAACATTATGACAATGCTATGTTAGCACAGGAAAAACATCATATTTAAGGAGTTTTTCCCAGTGTTTCCTTCCAACTCATTATTACTTGGAATGACCAACATACTTTTGTCATTACATGTCTCCGCTATCTCTAAGAAATTGAGTTCTCCTTAAACAGTTCAGATGATCCCTATTTTACCTGTGGACAAATAGCTCAAACAAAACCAAATTAAAATAACAAAAGTCAACCATTTTGGATAGTTGAATAGTGTTTAATTGCTTTTTGTTTTTAAGCTCTGCTATATTTTATTTAGGGGCTGTGAGGGATGTACCTGCTTTGCTTATTTTGTTTTGGGGTTGTTTTTTTTCTGCTTTTGGAGGGGTTTTGTTTTTCTCATTAATACAACTCTGACCCATCTTATTGGATCACAAACAAATATTATGTGTGCGGACCATCACCAAAAGCAAGCTAATCATACACCCAAATACACACAGATTTCTGCCATTCTATGCTATATCAAAAATACAACATTTCTTTCAGGTAAATACTAGCTTTAAACAGTTTTCAAAATCACCAGGAAAAAAAAAAAAGAGCATTCAAACAAGCATTAGATATACTGAACTTCTGTTTCAAACTTACGGTGCAATAATGGCTCTTGCAGGTCTTTTTGTGGACTGTACTTGAGAAAGCCAACCTTCTAGCTGTGCATTCAGCTGGGGTCCTGTGAAGAGACATGGAAATACTGAAGCCATAAAAGAACTTAATACATCTCAAAAATTCACAAATAAAGCTTGAAAGTCCAGCAGATTTAAAAGTCATCTTAAACATTCAAAGCTGGGTTTAAATCTAAAAACAAACCAACAGAAAAACACACTACTCCAAAATACCCAATGCAACAACAAAAGAAACCCCAACCCTGTAAAGTTGAAGGTTATAGTAGGAAAGTTTCAACCTCCTGGTCTGGGAAGTTCATTTACTGCACATCCAAACACACACTTCTTGTTTCCTGCTCTTTGGGGACTAATGAATACATCACTTCCGTTTGAAAGAATGGCTGCTGATTTCAAGAGTTGCTAACAGATGACTGTTTCCTCTCATAACCAAATTTGCAGAACTCAGAAGTAAAAGTTATGATCCTTATCAAGAGAGCAGTCCTACGGTGACGTTATGGTGTTTGTATCTCCAATCGTGTGTTCTGTTTACATTTGATATTATGTTCTGTGCTTTCAGAACTGACTCTGAAAGTGAAGGTTTGTTTTGCCTTGTTATCAGCCAGTTCACCTCCCCCCATGGTCTGCTGTCTAGAAAAGGCTAGTGCTGGCTGGCTTGCTTTTGCTTGCTTGCTTTGCTTGCTTCTGCTTTTGCCTTTGCTTCCTAGTTAGTTTAGCTAAGCAGTCCAATTCTTTCCCTGGACTGTTTCTTTTCCTTTCCTCTTCCTGAATACCACCCAACCTGCTCCGGACTGGGACCTGGGAAACACCGAGGGGCACCGAGATCCTGCATTTTGTGATCTGCAGCAGCCATCCCCAGTGCCGGAGAGCAATCCCCAGCGTCCAGAGCCGGGCGACCACTCCCAGGAAAGACTTTCTGGATTTGTTCATCTCTTCAGAGTGGTGAAAGAGTTTTGTTGTCATCTGGTGTTGTTAATTTTTTTGGTGCTGGGGAGTGCTTTGTTCGTTGAATTAACAGGTTCTTTTCCACTTCTCTCAGAGAAAATTTTTTCCCGAACCAGGTGGGTGGGGAGGGGCCGTGGGGGTTTGTTTTCTGGGGGCTCCTTCCAGAGGGTTTTCCCCAAATTTGCCCTAAACTAGGACAAGAGCCCAATATGAGAAGATGACATAACACAAAGGCCAGACGCTTGCATGATAGCCAATGACTATGGTAATAAATAATTTATTAAGCAAGTATAAGAGCATAATACAAAACACTGTAACGGGGAAAATGTGTAAATGCACAGGAAAAAGCTAAAAGTGAGAAGACATTCTGCTTATCCTAACACCTTAACTTCTGGTCAATCAACATATACTACAAGTACACGATCACTTAGTCTACATTAACCTTGATAACTGGCCAATCCAGAATTTAAATTTTTCTAAACTAAGTTCTGTACCTCAACAAGTAGCAAATATTTTTAATTCAATCATCCAACAGATGATAAAAAAAGCTTTCTAGAAAAACAACATTAAAAAACCCAAAACCAAACAAACCACATTTGATTATTTCCCATCACAAGAAAACTTTCTGACGTTAAGCTATCCTTCAGGAAGCAAGTCTGGCAAATACAGTACAACATTCTTTCTCATTAACAAACACTAAACAAGCTTTCAAGAAAAACTCATTCAGCTGCTATTTTAGTTACAAATAACAGCATTAACAAAGAAAATAGATGCACTTTTTTCAGCTGATACTATGCTTTGGATAGAACCCTATGCCAGCAGAGTTTATCTGTAAAGTATGGTGCAGCAAGCTGCTTTTCCTCTTCCATGCACATTGCAGATCTTTGTATCTTTCCCATGCAGGTGTTGAACTACCAACTGGCAGCATCAATCAAAACCAAATTAACTACCTGAAGCCATTTCACAGACACATTCCAAACAGCCCTGACAAGGGCTGACAGCTCTCCAAAAGGCTGACAAAAAGCACAGAGAACGAGAGAAAAGATGTCAACTTTTGCAGAATCCAATCAGTCTCTGACCAGGGAGAGTCAAAAAGCTTTCCCTAGAAAATGCAGGTGTGAAGGGTAGAGATGTTGAAGCCACTAGTTTTTATACAAAACTTAAATCCATGTCTCATTGAAAAAAGACAAGATCTGTAGTTCTGAAGAGCCCTACCTTCTTACATGAAGTAAGTGAACAAGTGCAGCATCATTTTCCTAAGCCTTCTATTACACCTTGAAAGCCTTAGTTACTGTCTACAACTCTAACAAGGTGAAAGAGTGACAGAGCAGTTGCTGTCACTCATGTAATACAGTGACTTTGTGAAATTATGAAAATGTTATAAAAATTCCATCACATACCGATTTTGTTCTGCTGCTTCTGTTGCTTGGGGAAATTAGAAATAGCTGATGTGCTATAGAGATAAGCATGATGACATCTAAGAAAATGGAGGCTATTGGAAAAGCTAAGTAAAAATACATAGGTCTCTATTTTCACCCCCCTCCTAAGATAATAGGAGACTAACAAAACAGTACTCTTACCGTATTACCACTTTTATTTGTTATATACTTCAGTGAAGAAACACATCACCTAAAAAATGTTGTTACTTCCTAATTCTCCCAAAATATGTAGAAAGATAAAATAATGTCTGAATAAATACTTTCTGAAGCACATTAGGAGGACACTTTTTTTTCCCCAACACTGACTACCCAGACTTAAACATTACCCTGCCCCACCTGACCCATTCTCCTCAAAGAGGCTCCATAGGCAACACAACTGCAAAAGTGACAGAATTTGTTAAGCCAAGGGGAACTCTTTCCCTGCAAGAGACTGTGCATAGCCCTCCTCCATCCCTTCTTTAGCAAGGATTTTCCACTAGGGATGTAGTTAAGGTGATTTGCCCTTGGTTGAGATAAATCAGGGAACCTGCTGAACAGTTTAAAAACAAAGGTCAGAACATATGGTAATATTCTAAAATTCCATGATTGGTCAAATCTGACTAAAATTTCCGATCTTAAAGTGTAGTAGTGGAGTAAGACACCCAGGTTTCTTAGTTTGCTATTACAGACACACACTCTAACAAAGTAACATTTTCTTCCTAGAGGCAGTAAAATAACAGATCTGTATGACCTAAGGGATGCAACTTCTCAGTGTTTACTTAAGGACCAAGTAACACATCTGCTTTCAGATTTTCTTCCTTTTAATGACAAGTATAAGTTGCCTATTTAAATAATTAATTTTGATCTGATGTAAACTTTAATTTCAGCTTATACTTAGCTGCACTACTTTAATAAAATACGCAATCAAATTTCTCCCTCCAGAGGACTAACAGAGAGAGAATGGAGAGTACAACATATCCATGGCTTTTTAGCTAAGGCAAAAAAAAACCAAAAAAACAAAAAAAACCAAACAGCACCTACATGAATTCACAGAAGTATAGCCTACCTGCAGCTTCCTATGCTTACAAATATTTTAAGGGGGATACTCTAGAACTGTAATTTTCTTGTTACCAAATTAGCACCAACTCTTTCTCTAACTGTTCAGAGAAGTTTTTCTCCCAACTTCGTAAACATGAGGATGCTTAAGGCTAGAGTCAAAATACTTGAGTTGGTTATACAAAATATAAATAAGCCTACACTATCACAGTAGCTGTGCTCTGCCATATGGTATTGTATTACAGAACATCAGTAACTTCTTCATAAAGAAGTAAGTTTTATTCATATTTAAATGAAGCTTAACTGGAAAAGCAGTCATCAAGACAATCAGTGAAAATGCATCACCTCAGCTGACCAGCATGGACAGTGAACAGCACTGGCACCCATGTATCCTTTTGCTCTTGTGGTGGGAAACAAAAGAGGTCCCAGCTGCTTGAGCCTCATCTTGAGAAAGCTGGCAGGATGAGAGCAACAGGGATTTTAAGGCTAACCCAGACAGAAGGGCAGAAAACCTTATGGATGCAATTTCTGGATGCAACAATCAGCATACTTTAGCAGTAAGATACTGTAAGATCAGACCTTTCATTGATCAGAAGAAGGTTAAGCAGCAAAATATGAGCTTCACTGATGTAACATTAGGATCTGCATTTCAATCCTATGAAGTCAGGTATAAACACAGGTGTGTAACTAAAGATTTCTGACATTATCTATAGATATTTCACATCCTGTTTTGTTTTGAGAACCAGTAGAAGTTATGCCAAGGTTTAAAATAATTGTAAGCACAGACCAAGTCTCCACTAGGCAAATTTATGGAAACACCTACAGGCAGCATTTATTCAATTATCTTGCCCAAAAGGACAGCTTATTTTAACAATAAACATTATCCCATCACAAAGCTCTAGAGTAAGTAAGAAAGAATCCTTCCACATTACTTGCATGCCATTGTCACCCAGGGAGTAATAACACAAAGACGTAACTCAGACAAGATCAACACCCCAATTTACAGCTGTCATGGTCCAGACTTTATAGGTTAAACCAAACCAGCACATTCTTTCCAGAGGCAACTTCACCTTGTCGGTGATGCTGAAGTGCTTATATGCCAAGTGTCAACACAATGTAATGGCATTTTGCTCCTTTTCCTGCAGCCAACATTACACATACAAAACATACTTCTTCAGACTGGTAGGGAAGACTCAGTGTTTGCTCTGAAACCCCAGTCTCAGTGAATACTTTTTTTTACTGGAAAAGCATAAACCTCAATCAGAATTTAGAGCAGCACCAGGGAAAATTGCTCAGGTCCCCCTTGGCTGCATGTGTACAGCACTCACAGCAAGGCAAGTAATGCTGGTGCACAATGACAGTAACACTGCAGTCCCCAGCCTTGACAGCTTTTACTTTGTCCAAGAATGTCTCCTACCTATAGCAGCCACCCTTGAGTCTTCCACTTTTTTTTTTAACTACCTTTTCCCATTGAAGAGAAAAGTCTACACTTTAAAAATGCTTCTAATAAATATTACAATATGTGTGGTAAGAAGTGAGTAAGTCTTTACTCCTGCAGAGTGTTAGAAAAATCAAAGTAATAGTGAAACCCTGGGGGCTGGCATACAACTAATTTAGTAACTGGAATTAAG